TTTGAGGAAGGAAATCAAGGGGGAAAAAACGCGAAGAGACGCGACAGGTAAGCTAAAATTTTATTTCACTATGTTTACATTTACCAAATTAGTATAATAGTCGCTAACCTGCGCAACAGATTATAGCTAACCACAAGCAGCCGGTTTTGCTTAGGCCTAAAACAGTATTTTTAAGCTTTCTTAAACTAGCAAACACGTCTAAATCGCTATTATTTTAAGCAGTTTTAAGCCTGCACTCAGTTTAAAAATACGGTAAATGCGCCCAAAATTATGATATTTCATTTCGGTTTCCATAATTTAAACCTAAAACTCTCCAAGAAATCGTTCCGTTTCTGCGTATTTTAGATAGAAAATTCGAAAAAAAGTCTAAGTCTAAGTTATTCAAATCAGATAAGTCTCGAAGAGCACTATTGTTTTCGCTATTGTTTAGTTAAACAAAGAATTGTATGCATAATAAATGTATGGGGTTATACTGAAATCTTGCCCAGTGATTTCTTCCCGCTGGATGGGTCCCAAGATTTTCTCTACAGCCAAGATCTTTTTTTTTCTTATCTTTTTTCCCCAGACAGGAATTTACAATTATAACCTCATATATCAACCCGCACGTACTAATAAAATTCTGAAGAGCAATGCAATATGGCTGAAAAAATCATTTCAACGACATTAATTATTTTTTAGTATTGTTTTAAAAGTGCCGTGGAACCCCGCCTTACGCCCGCCCCGTTGATACAACTATCTCTTTTTTACGGCCACTTTATACTGGCCCGAACAAAAGCTCAGCTAGATACTTTGTTAGTTCAAGAACCCCTTAAATACGTACGGTCATCCCGTTAAAACGGCCAGACTTTTGTAGCCCGTTGATGACCGGATTAACGGAGCTCCACTGTATCAGGCTTACCTTTTACATTTATCACATTCCTGGATAAAGACAGACAGAGCAAAATGATTAGTGTTTCATTTCTAGGCACACTAGAACAGTCACGAGATCACACGAGGCATGACGCGCCGTGTTAACTTACCATTGTTACATTACAGAAATACTCAGTGATCGGTCGGTCTCGAGCTTCTCTTATTCCTCGCTGACGTTCCTTCTGCTTTTCAGCTTTTTTTCGAGCTCCTGTCTTTTTCTTCGGCATTTT